TTCCTCCTAAATTGTAGGAAGAGAGAAGAAAGTTATTTCCTAATCCAGATTTCTTGGTTTCTCGGGATGGAGTAATTATCTCTAGAATGAACCTTGGTTCTTGCTCTAAGTTGTTCCAGATCCTAAAGGCCCATGTGGTTTCAATTCTAATAGACTCAGTCATTTCCAGTTCCTTTCCATTTCTGTGTGTTTTGTTTTGTTTTGCTTTGCTGAAACTAGACTTATATTCAGATTTGCCTGGTTAAGTAAATCACCAGGTAGAAATGACTACAAAGTTGTGAAAGTTGGGCAGCTAGGTGGTACAGTGGATAGAGTGCTGGACCTGGAGTTAGGAAGACTCACTTTCCTGAGTTCAAATCTGGCCTCAGATATTTACTAGCTGTGTGACCTTGGGCAAGTTGCTAAACCCTGTTATACCTCAGCTCATCATCTGGAAAATAAGCCGGAGAAAAAAATGGCAAACCATTTCCGTATCTTTGCCAAGAAAACCTCAAATGGGGTCACAAAAAGTCGGACACAACTGAACAACAACAAAAGTTGTCATAGACTTGAGATAACTACTTAGGGTCCCTTCCAGCGTAGAGCAATGACAGGGTTCAAGGGGGGGGTTAGCATTTCCTTTTGACTCTTATTGGCAAGTACATCATGGGGGGTATTTCAAACCACTTCATCCTGGTCCACATTGTTCCAAGAGTTGGAATCATCTTCAGCTTGACATTAACCATTGGGGAAGATGCAGCTGGGCCTAGGACTAGAAGAGTACCTTGAGTAGAGAAGGTGTCCAAATGTGTTTATTACCAAAGAAGCAAAATATGGCTGGTCTCTTTGGGTTACCTCTGTAGGCGTCTTAGCCTCAGTGGATGCTAATATTTTGTTAAATGGAAGGATAAACAAAGGCATTTTCTCCAGCATTAGCCATGAATCCTGACCTGTTGAGACTTCCCCACACCCAACTGAAAGAAGAGTTAGCTCCAGTAACTCTCTGCTGATGTATGAATAGGTTCTTTGTGTCTTCCATGTCAAAAATCACAACTAACTGGCTTTCTTGACACATCAGCCCAGTATTTCACACATGGGTATTGTGAAGTGTGTAAAGAGATTCACCAGGGAGAGGGATGCTCCCCATTCCACTATGTCTTCCTTACCCACTTCAACACACAAAAAAGTTTTAGGTCTTAGAGTTGGTTTTAATGCAATGAGTCACCTGCAACTTTGCACCTCAGTTGAGTGATTATCCACCCATTGAAGGGACTTGGAAACTGAATTCTCCACTGGAACTTTTTTTTTTCCCTTTTCTTGTTTCCATTGGAATTTTATGAAAGAAAATGACAACTATAACTGACAATATGGGATGGGGGGATTCTGTCACATAACAGACATTTCCAAAAGTCTCTATAATTTCTTTAATTATTCAAACAACAGAGAACAAGGGTAATAGCTTCAAGTACATTCTTATACATATTTTCAACAGGAATAGATATGTATTTAATCATTCGCTAGGTCGGCAGCAACCACTATGCATACATTTTATACAAGCTATTGCCATTGTCAATCATGAACATGGAGAACCTTGTCGCCTTGAGGATGGTGCCATGTTGAAGCCAACTGGTGGCCCCTTTCCCCCTCTTCTGGCTTCTCTGCCACGTGACTCCTTCCTGCTAAGCCCTTTCAATGCCCGTGAAGAAAAGGGAGCCTTCACATAAAGCTCTAGAGGTATTGTTACAAGATGAAGGGAAAAGAGAAAAGATGTTTAAAGGAAGCAAACCACTTGCACACTCCACCAAGAGGCCTGGCTAAGACAGTTTGCTGCCCATGTGGCACATCTGAATTCTGTGCTCAGAGATCGTGGGTACTTCTCTGTCTCAAGCTGAAGGTCCAGCACACTGAGTGATGGAGCTCAGAGAACCCTATTTCTGCCAGTTTTGCATTTTGCCTGGGTCTTATACACACTGTTCTGTTTTTCTCTTAACTCCAGGTCCTGAGTCACTGTAAGTCACATTAATTAAACTCTTGGGTTTGTAAACTCTGTCTTTAAAACATCATAATCTCCAAGATGGAAATAGTTCTTTACAGAAATATAACTGGGGAGGATCCCCCTCCTACAGATAGAGCACCCAACCCAACCTGTCCTGACCATAGATGGGCCCAATGCTTCTGTTCCCATTGATCAATTTAATCGTAAGCCTGTGATATTTTAATATTCAATATAGAGGATATTGTACAACCATTGATTATACATCCTTTCAATATGGCCCAGTATGAAAATGAGAAGGGGAAGACACAGGCCCAATCCTCCAACACTACTTCATAGCACAGGCCAGTTATTGCCACACCCCAGATATCACCTCACAGGCCAAGTGCCTAGGGCTGGTCATAGGATCAAAAATGGCATCCTTTGGTTAACAAAATCATATCATAGGATGATGGATTTAGAGTTGGAAGGAAACTTGAAGGTCATCTAATCCAACCCCCTTATTTTGTAGGTGAGGCAACAACTAAGGTCACATCACTATTAATTGAAAGAGCTGGGGTTTGAATACAGGGCCTCCAACTCAGAATCCAACATCTTTCCATTCTACTGTCCTCATCTCTGAACTTGGTGTACAGTGAAGGGCAGTGGAAAGTTGAGCAAATGGGGTAACTCTTGAAGATACCCTAAACATCTGAAGAAAAAGATAAGCAACAGACAGGATTCATTTGTAAAGTAGACTCAAGTTTCCAACTCCTTGGCCTGACCAAGAGCTTGGGGACTAAGGCAAAAGGGTATGGCCACATACACTAGACAAAGTTTACTCTAACCCACTAACGTCGCCATAGCCAAGGCTCAAGTAGATTCACAGTCTGACTCTGCAAACCGGAAAGGACAGCTGCTGACCACAGGCGTGCAGGTCAATATCATGCCTGCTGCCTCCTACTCCAAAGAACCTGAAACCCTGAACCCCAGGGATCCAGTGGCCCAGCTACCGGGGACCAAGCAAAGGGCTGTCTCAGTGCTCCAGGCATGGAAGTTTGGGGAGGTCGTGGAGACATTGTCAACTGCTTGCAACAGTTTGCAGCAGAACCCCGGGGACCACGCCACCCAGAAATTGGGTCAGGTTGCATATACAAAGGACTGATGGAAAGGAAGAGACCTTGCTGTTTTTGTGCCGTCATCAACTCCCACATAGAACTGGAAAAGACTAGCAGCATATATCCCTCCTGGATCTGCCACAAACATTGGAATAGGCGGGAAAAATGCCACCCCTTTCAGAATCAATCCTTCAAGAAAGACCAGGCAGATAAGTAAATGTGCTCACTTGTTCTCCCTCTGGTTCAGAAGTCCTGGGAGATTTCTAAAGGACACTGGCTGGGAGAATCAGATAGTAGGAGGCTATTCTCCATGCAGGCCTATAGCTATGCAGCTTTGAGGATCTGGAAAGGCAATGGTGGGGCCTGATCACTAAAACTCAAAGACAGAGAAAGTGCAATGAGACTTTTCCTGGCATCCAAAGGACAAGATGGGACCCACTTCTAGGCACCAAAAAGTGAGCCAAATAAGCTGACAACATAGCACAGAAAAGGAAATTAAGGGAGAAAGTTCACTGGAAGTTCTTTTGGGGCTGATTCCTCTCTGACAAATTAGGTTTTTTTGATCAAGAAGAAAAGCCCCCTTCACACACACCACCACCACCATACCACACCCAACCATGGGAGTGTAGAAACAACTTCACAAAATAAATACAAACAGATTGAGGTTTCTCCAGAGAGGAGACTAAACAAGTTGATTTGATGTATTTGGTTACCTACTTAAGTTTATCTGAATTCACAGTATAAGTAACACATCTAAATATAATATCGGGAACTCCTTTTAGCATCGGGTTTCCCAAACAAAGAAGCCAAAAAGAAAAAAAAAATGGGCTGCAACAATAACTCTTAGTTATTATATACTAACCAGATTGTGCATGGCACATTTTATTTCTATAAAACTATTAAAACTATTACAAAATATTTTAAAAATACATTTTAGTAAATTTACAGTAGTTATTTCTCAATTTATTAATGCAAAACATCCTTTTTTTTCTCTGTACAAACTACAGGCTCCATCTTTGTGGGCTCATTACCATGTGCGCTTTTTTAAAAAATATTATTTTCTAATAAATTCTTTGAAGTTAAAAATAACAAAGTTCTTGCAGTTTGCAAAAAAAAAAAAAAAGTGTGTGTAACAGTCTTGACTTCCAAGAATGTGGCCATAATGGTGCTGACAATGCAAATATTAAACCAAAAAAGACAATACAGGAGATGGCTGTTACAGTGGAAACTAGTTAAATTAAAATAATATATTCTCATATTTTACACTATTTCAAAAAAACAACAAAATGTAATTCTGTTAAGTATTGATCTCTCAAAAAATCTAATTTACAATTCTGCGTACAAAAATATAATTTGTGGACCCCCACGAAGCATGTCTTACTTTACACTTGCTGGAAAGCAGGAGCGATGCAAAGGAGGATTGGAAAGTACAGAATTTTGCTTTCTGAAAGTCAGGACACGCAGGACATGTAGAAAAATAGACTCTGAGCAGTTTTGCTTGGCCTCACAAAATAATCTTTCCCCCTTGTGAGTACAATTCACATGATAATAATAAGTTATCAAAGAAAAAAAAACTATTTAAGGCTCTTGAAGGTCCGGTTCATATTATTTAAAACATCTATTCAAATACCAAACAAATAAATAGCCAGGAGAGGAGGAAAAAATAATAACAAAAATAAAACAATAACAAAAAAACAACAAAATTAAAATATATATAATATATATAAAAACTAAACACAACAACAAAACTTCCCGGGGTCTGTGTTTCCTTAAAGTCTACTTTGGACTGTCCTACTTTATTATCATTATTATTATTATTAATTATTATTATAATTAAAAGTCTCATTCCGTGCTCTCATAATTTCTTTTGTTGTTGTTACCCCCACCCTTGCCCTCCCCGCCCCCCTTCCGCCCAGGATCCCCCCTCTGTTTCAGCTGGACTTGACTGCTATCCCCAGGGGGTGCAGTGCGTCACTGTCCAACAGCCAAGTGCCTATTTGGTAGAGCAGCTGCGAGTACCAGTGGATGCCTGCCGTCGCGGCCCCGGCATCTGGAGCGTCGGCCACATCTGGCGAGGCTGCGGGGAGGAGGAGACGGCCGCCACCGCCCCCGCCGGGGCCGCCGCCGCCCCCGCCACAGTCCCTGCCCGCGGGGGAGAGCACGGCCAGCAGGGCGTGGGCCAGTCGGAAGGGGGCGAACGCCCAGTGCGCCCAGCTGTGCTCCTCGATGACGGCGTAGCAAGAGGCCAGCACGCGGTTGATGAGGATGGTGCCCTGCGCGGTGAGCGGCGCGTAAACTCCCGTGGCCTCTTCGCGCAGGGACACGCTGTGCACGGCGGCGGGCAGCAGCCTGCGGTCACCGCCCCGCTCCTCCACTACGTAGACCCGCTGTCCGGGTCGGACCCGGCTGGCGAAGAGCGACTGGCGTCCGGCCGCGACCCCAGGCGGCGGCCCCTGCCAGGCCCAGCCCGACGGCTGCCCCGACGGCAGCAGCCCCGGCTCCCCCGGAGGCAGCGGCTCGGGGCCCGAGTCGTTGTGCGGGGCAACGAAGAGCAGGTGGGCAGCGGTGAGCAGCAGGCGCTCTCGGGGCTCCCGCGTCTCGATCACGTAGAACACCTTCTTGGCGCCGTCCTCCCGGTCCAAGAAGGCCAAGAAGTCGCTGTAGAGCAGGCGGCCCTGGTCGTCGGCCGCCAGCACCCGATCCCCGGGGCTCAGGTCCTTCACCAGCTTCGTGCCGCCCTGCTCCAGGTGCACCGTGGCCGAGCCCGGGAAGCAGCCGCCCGACTTGGCGGCCACTGAGTTCTCTGCAGGTGGGAGAGGGGAGAAGAAAGAAAGGAGGAAGGAGGGGGTTAGTACTGAGAGAAAGGCAGCGCGGGAGAGGTGGGGCGGGCGAGGGGGAGATGAATGGGGTGGGGTGGGGGGACGGGCAAATCCTGGTGATGCCAGGTCACTAGTCAGAGATTCCAGGGGCAGAGCACAGGGCACCCCTCTTTCTCCCCACCCACCGCACGAACACCGAGAACAAATTCCTTATCATCCTTTGGGGAGACCAAGGGAGATGTCAAGGGTATTCAATTGCTCCAGACTAGGGGTTTGTCACATCTTCCCTCTGAAGGACTCCTGCCTGCTCCTCCCCACTACTCCTCTTTATCACCGAATTAGATAGCTAACTATCGCCTACTTTTTGAGGGGAGGTCGGGGTTCCCATTTCATTTTACATTAGAAGTCCCTTTTCCCCTCGCCCCCTCCCCCTCCAAATTAAGGATGCTGACTCTCCAACCACTAATTCCTCACTCTCGGAGTGCTCTGAACACCGAAAGAGGGGGCAGGGGGTGTTGATTTTGCACCCACTCCTACTGGGATGGATCCCCAGAGCAGGACTGGCTCTGAGAAGGGCTGGCCCAGTGGTGGATGTCCTGGGCTTCTTGATGGGGAGGGGGTCGGGGTGGGCGAGATAAACACAGAGCGCTGAGCTGGAGCTAACCCCTCCTGAAGCCCTGCTGCGTTTTTCTGTTGCATGGGGTCTCTGGTTAAAAATAACTGGAATAGTTGTAGCAACTCTACAAACACACCAGGGAATTGGTCTGGGAGTGAAAATCCGGCGTTTGTTTGGGTTCTCTAATTAAAATCTAATAAAGAACCCACGCATTGTCATTTCGATTCCTTGAATAAGTAGGAGGCACTCTTGGAAGAGAGGACACTTCCATTTTCTTCCCCTCTTCTTCTTCCTCTTCTTCTTCTTTGTTTTTTTTTTTTTTTTTTTTTTTTTTTTTTTT